AAGAGCGAGCGGGATAGAGTATAACCGGAGTTTAGTAGAATGAGAAGGGGTAATTTAACGGTGGGGGAAAGGGAAAGATGCTCAAAAAGAAGCTCATTAGCATAAGAAAACACAATAAAGTGGGTGGCACTCTCAAGCATTGGATACACTTTTGTTAACGCACAAACACACACACACACACAAACAGCACACGTTTGTAGATCACAATTCGGCAAATGCAATTCCATTTCCCAGCCCTAGAACACACAGGCACACATACAATACTAATGCTTATCGGTTAGAAGACTTCTTTGGAAACACTTGCTGCAGTAGCGACACCTATCAAAATCCCCTCGCCCGCGAAAAAAATTGTGTTATTCTCCGCCAGAATTTAATATGATAACACACACTTGCGAGCCTGGGGATTTGGGCTGTTTTATATGCACTTCCATAATTTTCGGAGCCTCCGCAGACACAACACACACACACATACACACAGGCCACGCACACCGTGGGACGGCGGCGCCGATAACGAAAGATGATAGAAAAGCGAGTAGGGGAAAATTTTTCTCACCTCCGACTCGATACATATTTGTGGCCATTTTCACTACGCTTCCGCACCAAAACTTTCACATGTAAAACACTCGGCGCACGCTAAGCTCTGTTTTTCACTAGTTCTGCTTCAAATTAGCGCACATTTATTAGCAAAAAAGACGAGTTGTTATGATTGCATTTTTCACATAAGACGCGTTTTTTTCGTCGCCATCTTAGAAACAACTCAACTCTAAAAAATACACACACACACAACGCCAAGTAAACAGCTGCCCCAGGGCTGCATTCGACCGGGCGATAGCTAAACGATTGTTATTAAATATCGCATTGAGTCAAGGATTGAAAAATTAGGAAAATAAATTTAAAAATAAATAAGAACGGTGAGTTGAATCCAAAGCGCATAACACGTGATTATTTTTGGTTTCCCACAAATTACATATCAAGAGAAACAAAACATAAAGTTTCAAATTCATTTGTTTATTAACTATTTATTATTTTATTTTATATTACATTAATAGATACTATTTAATTGCCACTGTATAATGTTGCATTTAAATAGTTATTAAGCGATTGCTTTATTTAATATTTATTAAAATTTTTAATCGTATTGATAACCGTTTCACCAATCGATAGTATCGTTAAAAACTATCTTCACTGACCTGCAACGTTTACAATCAAAATTCATTTATACATTGGGCTTGATTTTGACCTTTCTTTATAGATTTATATAAATTAAAGTGTGAAGTTGTTATTTGTTGAACAGGAGGACAATTTGTTTGTTTTCGTATTGTTTTGCGTGAGTAGACTGGCCGTCGCGAGCACGAAACAGTGTCACGACCAGCTGTCAAATTCGTGACGTGGCCTGCCGACCGATTTTTCCCAATTGGTAGCGGAGTTCAATTTGATTATCCCGTCTGAATAGTATATTTAAGTGTTGTTAAGGCGATGACCACCTACGAGGAGTTCATCCAGCAGAACGAGGACCGTGACGGGGTGCGGCTGACGTGGAATGTGTGGCCTTCAAGCCGCATCGATGCGAGTCGCCTGGTGGTCCCCCTTGCTTGTCTCTATCAGCCATTGAAGGAGCGCCCTGATCTGCCTCCGATCCAATATGAGCCTGTACTGTGCACCAGGAGCAACTGCAGGGCTATCCTCAATCCGCTGTGCCAAGTGGATTATCGGGCCAAGTTGTGGGTTTGCAACTTCTGCTTTCAGCGGAATCCGGTGAGTAATCAAGCCAGCGATTCTCTTAATGTAAACTTTAACCCCCGTGTTCTTTCAGTTCCCCCCTCAATATGCAGCCATATCCGAGCAGCACCAGCCCGCGGAGTTGATTCCAGGCTTCAGTACCATTGAGTACACCATTACCCGGGCTCCCACCATGCCGCCCGTTTTTGTGTTTCTGGTAGACACCTGTATGGATGAGGAAGAGTTGGACGCACTTAAAGACTCGTTGCAAATGTCCCTGAGTCTACTGCCGCCAAATGCCCTGGTTGGCTTGATTACCTTTGGCAAGATGATCCAGGTGCACGAACTAGGCGCCGAGGGATGCTCCAAGAGCTATGTGTTCCGCGGGACCAAGGATCTGACCGCCAAGCAGGTGCAGGATATGCTCGGTATCGGGCGCGGAGCGGCTCCGGGGCCGCAACAGCAGCAGCAGATACCTGGCCAGCCGGCTGGTGCTGCGGTCCATGTGCCGCCCGCGCACCGCTTTCTGCAGCCGATCGGCCAGTGCGACGCAGCACTGGGCGATCTGCTCAGCGAGCTGCAACGCGATCCCTGGCCGGTGCCCCAGGGCAAACGCTACCTGCGCTCCACTGGCGCCGCTTTGTCCATTGCAGTGGGTCTGCTAGAGTGCACCTACCCGAATACGGGAGGACGCATCATGACCTTTGTGGGTGGACCTTGCTCCCAGGGCCCCGGTCAGGTGGTCGACGATGAGCTCAAGCACCCGATTCGATCGCATCACGACATCCATAAGGACAACGTCCGATTCATGAAGAAGGCCATCAAGCATTTCGATGCCTTAGCTTGAGAGCCGCCACCAATGGACACAGTGTTGATATATACTCTTGTGCCCTGGATCAAACCGGACTGTTGGAAATGAAGCAACTGTGCAACTCCACTGGTGGACACATGGTGATGGGCGATTCGTTTAACTCGTCGCTCTTCAAGCAAACATTCCAGCGTGTGTTTGCACGCGATGGTCGCAACGATCTGAAGATGGCATTCAATGCCACGCTGGAGGTGAAGTGCTCGCGCGAGCTGAAGATCTCCGGTGGGATCGGCTCGTGTGTGTCGCTGAATGTGAAAAGCCCGTCGGTGTCGGATGTGGAGATCGGCATGGGCAATACGGTCCAGTGGAAGCTGTGCACCCTGAACCCCAGCTCCACGGTGGCCTACTTCTTTGAGGTGGTTAACCAGCATGCCGCGCCCATTCCGCAGGGCGGACGCGGCTGCATACAGTTCATAACGCAGTATCAGCATCCTAGTGGTCAGCGGCGCATCAGAGTCACCACCCTGGCCAGAAAGTAAGTGATATTAGAAGTACTCTAAGCTCCTTAACTAAAGGTCTATTTTTTTTTATCTACAGTTGGGCGGATGCCACTTCCAACGTACACCATATCAGCGCCGGGTTTGACCAGGAGGCTGCTGCTGTGCTAATGGCCCGCATGGTTGTCTATCGTGCGGAGACGGACGAGGGGCCTGATATTCTGCGCTGGGTTGATCGTCAGCTCATCCGTTTGGTAAGTGAAATTCATGATTAAGCTTAATAATTTGTAATTATCTTATATACTATTAAACCTTTCTTTTTTCTCTTCATTAGTGCCAAAAGTTCGGCGAGTACTCGAAGGATGATCCCAATAGCTTCCGCCTGTCGCAGAACTTCAGCCTGTTCCCGCAGTTCATGTACCATTTGCGCCGTTCGCAGTTCCTGCAGGTCTTCAACAACTCGCCCGACGAGACCACATTCTACCGACACATGCTGATGCGCGAGGACCTCACCCAGTCGCTAATCATGATACAACCGATACTCTACAGCTACTCGTTCAACGGCCCACCAGAGCCCGTTCTTCTCGACACAGCCTCAATCCAGGCTGACCGGATCCTTTTGATGGACACATTTTTCCAGATCCTGATTTATCATGGCGAGACTATCGCCCAATGGCGTGCTCTCAAGTACCAGGACATGCCAGAGTATGAGAACTTTAAGCAGTTGCTTCAAGCGCCGGTCGACGATGCCCAGGAGATTCTGCAGACGCGCTTCCCAATGCCCCGGTACATTGATACCGAGCACGGCGGATCCCAGGCGCGCTTCTTGCTGTCTAAGGTCAATCCCTCACAAACGCACAACAACATGTACGCCTATGGACAGGTGAGTTTCATGGCAACAGCCGTCGGCTGGCTATTTTTGATTGATCTTTGCAGAGCGCTCATAAGTGCCATCGAATTCTCTACTGAAATCTTATTTTCAATCTCGTTTTATGTTGATTTGTTTTCCTCATTGTGTAATCTGTACCCGCCAACCGCTCCCCCTATCATGTGCAGCCGTCCGTTGGTCATGTCACGGTAGTACATTTTTGTTCAACGTTATCCATTTAAGTTGGGATAGGTTTACAAATCACTTAGGACATTTATCACTAATAATTTGAAGCAGAATACACTTCTGTTGACTAATTTAAGCATATAAAATTAGGAACTCTACGGTCAAAGAAGGAAGTAAAGTGATGCACTTTTTTTAAATCCACATAACTAGAATCATCTACATGTTTTTATCAGTTTAACAATTTTTCTGGTAGCAAATCATTACTCTTTTATACATTTCTACATAAATCTTCCGTAGATTTATTGTTTTTACACTAAACTCTGCTCTTAAGTATCCCAAAATACACTGTTCTGAGATACTTACAGATATTTGTATTGCTCTGGTGTTGGTCATTTCTTGGTGTTGGTTCCGCTCGCTCATTTCCCTCAAAACCCACAAACCTAATCCCCGCCCCCATCCATCGTTTGATTAATGATTTTGACCTTGTTTCGACAGGATGGCGGCGCTCCCGTGCTTACGGATGACGTGTCGCTGCAGTTGTTCATGGAGCACCTCAAGAAGCTGGCAGTGTCCACTACAACATAAAAATAATACAGGACAGGATCTGGGCGGCCATCCGCGAACTCCTGGAATTCTCGGCAATGCAATTAGATACAAAATATACCCCTCTTATTCCACTTGATCGCCTGAAAACAATAAACTATTCAATATATGTTCACTTAAGTTCAACTCGGCCTTTATTTAAACAGAAAATGTCATTAGGATCTACACGTTGAGCGGAATGAGCTTTCCGTAGGCAAAAACAAGGTAACAAATGGAAAAGTAGGTCTGTTTTTCCATAACAACTAAAAATACAAGTTGATCCGGCGGATTATGCAACCAAAAATATTATAAATTAAAGAACTATAAAACGTGTTATTTATTTATTTTTTACACTTTGTGACGTTTTAAATTGTGTTTTTAATTGTAAACTTTTGAAATTCACTTATTCATTATTACGCTTTATGAGCACCTAGAGATATAGAGTGCTCCAAAACAAAATAGAGGTTTCAGTTACACACCGGAATGCCTCACTACTGACTCTCGACCTAAACTATTTGGTACACACTGACTAAAAAACTCGCTCCTTCCCCGTGACTCCGGAAACCCAACTCAGTTGAGAAACCGAATAGACATTTTCTGATCCACATCGGTGCGGTCCAGCGCCTTGCAGAAGTCCTCAAACGAGATCTTTCCCTGGCAGCACAAGTCCGCTTCCAGAATCGTCCTCTCCGCAATGCTCACCAACTGATCCTGGCTAATGTTCGCCCCCACCATCATGTGCAAGATGGACAGGAGCTCATCGCGGCTGATCACACCATCGTCATCCAGGTCGTACATTTTAAACGCAAACTTCAGCTTCTCCTCCCGACTATTCAGCTTGCTCTGCTTGTTGTCCCTTAGCGGTCGGAAGTGGGCGAGCACGTTCATGAACTGCCTAAAGTTTACTCGGTCATCGTTGCTCTCAGCGAAAAAGGAGTGCACAATCCGCTCGCATAGCGGATTAATGGCCAGCTCGGGGATGCGCATCAGATCCTCCGAGAAAGCGTTCCGCAATCGTTCCGGTCCAGCGACGTAAAGCGCGAGTACAGCCGCTCAATTTGGTTGGGGGTGACTGACCACAGAAAGAAAATAACAAAGATTTGAATATTTGAAACTAGTTATATTTCTTGAATTGAATAATGCAAATTCGGCGATGTTAAGTTAGGCTCGTATGGTAGGTAACCATCATCTAAAGATTGCTATAAAACAAAAACTCTTATAAATTTAGATATTTATATTCATTTTAGGTCGATAGAGTGTAACTACGAGAAAACCTGAACAAATTTTTCCCTGTGTGCGCCGACTCTTTGAAGACCGCGCAAGTTTCCATTTAGTTGGTTATAAATTCGTGCTGATAAGGACGGGGGCCTCTTATCAATTAAGCTGATAATAGCTGGTCGAACATTGGATACAAGTTCCAAATGCGGGACAATTTCAATTGTTAGCTTATCGCGCCCAGAATATTGAAATTACACAGTCTCGGACACTAGATAATTGCCAGCAAAGCCAATTTCATTGATAGGACGTGACTTTTGCCCCCGTCTACTCATAAATCGGTTATACTATAAATGTAGATTACGTCACGCTGGAAGTGCAGGTGCAACTGCAATGCAAATTGGCTTTTCCTAGAATATGTCTGTGCATATTCAGAGGTTCGGAGGCATATATTAAACTAGCAGAATGTTCAGAAACAGTTCTGAATAATGTTCTTAAAAGCCATTAGAATAACCTTAACAATCGGTTTCTTTAATGGTTTCCGAAATCGTTGAAATAACACTGGAATTTTTTTTAAGACCAAAAGCTTTTAGCACTCCAGTGCGATGTTATTGTTTGCTCTTGGAATATTTATTTATATCTAAATGCGTATTTGTTGTGGAAAACCTGGCGGCGGGCGAAATCTATACGGTCTGTCCCACTTTCAAAATTCGAACTCACAGCCAGTTTCCTCCTGAATCTGGGCGATCTCCTCGTTCCGCAGAAACAACGACGATTTATGCCCATGATGACGTTGTTTTGAGCGCTTATTCAATTCTTTAACTTTTCCCACAAGTCTCGCGAATGGCATTGGTATTTAGAGTTGTTGTTTTCAGACTGATTGCAGCCGAAATAGCGGGAAAATATCGACAAATTGATTGCGAAAAAATACCAACATGTTGAATTAGAGGTGGACCAATTCCTGCCTTGAAAAATAATGTAATACTATTAGTTCCATTTATTAAACTATTGCAAAAATGTATTTATAACGCCACCTATTAAAAATAATGTATACGGGCTTCTTAATATGTTAGTAAGCATTTAAAAAGTTTAATACATTATTCCGAAATGATGAAATTGGAAAAATACAAAAAAATACTACATTTATCGATGTTTTGCTTTCAGTTTCAGCCCATCTTTTGTTGTTGTCAAAGAAAATAGCAATCTTTTATTCGGCGGATTAAACCCGCTTTGCTATTATGGACAAGTTAAATTCCACTTTAACGGCGGTTAAGAATCTGCGATCAAATGTAAAGCAGTGCTTCGAGCATTTGGCCGATGGAACCGATGGGGAGGGCTTAGAGGAGAGTAGGAATAAATTCGTGCACGACTTCCAGGAGAGATTCGGAGCCATCAACTCGCAGTTGCGGTCTGTAAATCTATGAAAAACTGTTGCTAAACCAATATAATTAAGCCTGTTTCCAACAGTGAAGTGGAGCAGCTAATAAATGGATTGCAAGTCCCCCCCACAGCATATTCCCTGGGAAATACGGCTTACCTCGCTCAGGAGACATCTCAGGACCGCCAGGCGTTGTACCCGCAACTGGTCAACAGCTACAAGTGGATAGATAAGGTGCACGACCACAGCTTCCTGGCTTTCAACAATCTCAACCAGAATACGCTGAGGCGGTCCTATAATTACTGCTCCCAGAAACGCCAGCGTCTGCCATTTCCTCGTTTAACAATGATCCAGAGTGAGTGTAAGCTCAGTAATATACAATTTAATCTGTTTTATATTGCCCCAGCCACATAGACAAGCTGCTAAGCGAAATCAACACGGGGCCTCACACCTCGTACCGGATATTCCGGCCATTTGGTACCAATGCCGTGGCCATTGTTACCATCAGTAATGTGATGAAGGCGGCAATTGTGTTCAAGGGTGTACTAATCGAATGGGTGACCATAAAGGGTTTCGATGAGCCACTGGAACACGACGATCTGTGGCGGAGTCGCGATATGAAGTGTTCCGCAAGGTTCAGGAGCACGCCCACTCCGCCATGCTGCACTTCTTTTCACCCACATTGCCAGACTTGGCTGTGAAAAGCTATGTGACCTGGCTGAACAGCCATATTAAACTGTTCCTGGAGCCCTGTAAGCGATGTGGGAAATTTGTGGCCAATGGGTTGCCACCGACTTGGCGGGACCTGCGCACCCTGAGCCCTTCCACGAGGAGTGCCGTAACTGCTGAAAGTCCCATGTGTCCGATTTTAAGACTAACTGATAGTTCTAACTTGTATACTTCATTTATTTCAAAAACAAAAAATAATATATATTCTGAATCCACGCGCGCGTGTTGATTTTTAGAAATCGCTGTCGCTCGGCTGAATAACTACAACGGTTTAATGCGTTTGTTTATATGGCCAGCAGGAACTGCGGCAGGAGCAGGCATCTTGAAGTCTTGGTCTTCAGCGGCAACTGCACGCCGCGCCTCAGGCACAGGCTCTCGAAGTTGGCGCGCAACGTAGCGCGTAGCTGCTCCCGCTGACGCTGCACCTGCTCGCTGTGGCACTTGAAGGCCAGCACCACCTCCTGTGGAATGTAATAGGTCTCATCCTCGTCCTCCTCTTCCTCATTGTCGTCGTAATCATCGAAGTCGTCCTACAAACGAAAGTGAAGTTAAAAAGTTAGTCACAAGATTTAATTAATCATAATAAAAATATATGAACAATTGGTTTCAAACCCAGACTTGCTCTCTGGAAGGTTCTACAAAAATCGTTCGCTTGACTCACCCACATCTGCAGCAATGAAAACTTGTGCTCAAACTGCGACTGATGGCCGTAGAGCAGAATGTCGGAGACGTAGCTATTGCGAGCCGTCGTCAATCCGAACATGCCTTGCTGATCTGATCCTCATCGTGGGGCCCGTCGTGGTTGCACAACCCATCGGAACAGGATACCTCCGAGCCCTCCGGCGACGAGACCACGCTAGATGTACGTGAGTCGGCATGCGAGGTGGGATCGCTGCCGTAGCCAGAGTCGCGAACATCCTGCTCGCAGGGGCAGTTGGGAATGGGAGCCAAACAATCCTCGCACTTGTCCCCGCCATTTAACTTTGCTACGACGCTCGACGAGATGCAGCTGGACACGTCCAGGTGATCGTGATCGTCATCCATGCGCTGCTGGGTGCTGCTAGCCAACGGCTGATGTCCTGCTTCCGTCCTTCGGTCTTTTTCGATCCCGCTGGCTGCTTTTGCTTCTTTTCTTCGATTGCTTCTTCGGTTTCGGTTTCGTTGGTTTGGACGTGGTAGCGTTATTTCTGGTTCCTCGTGAGAAGCCTCCAAAACAATACCATCGTCCGCCCCCGGATCGCTTTTCCCGACTTGCTCCTCATCCATTTCCTCCTCCTGTTCGAGCTCCACTATCTCCAGCTCTATCGATTCGTCCTCCTCCTGTTCCTCTGCGTCCTCGTCGGACTCGTTGGCCTCAGCGTCTCACACTGCCGGTGCAGCAAGTTCTTCTTCTCATCCTTCTTCTTCTTCTTCTTGAGCTTCTTTTGCTCGCGCTTAAGTTGCTTGGCCCGCTCCGCACGACTAATCTCCTGGTAGAGTAGCTCCAGGTTGCTGATGCCCTGCTTTTGCTCCACGAACGTGTCAAAGCTGCGGCAGAGGGCGTGGACGCCAACAGCGGCCAGCACTTGCATGCTCGCTCCTCCTCACGCAGATTTACGTAAATTCGACGCAGCCGTTCGTACATGATCATTCCACGCAGGTCAAACTTCCTCCTGGGCAATCTCTAGCGTCTTGGCGTGACGCTCGCGCAGCTTCGAATAGCTGCCGTTAACCTCTGGCTCGGCGCGCTTGATCAGCGCGTCCAGGAACTCTATCTTGTTGGTGTTCACGTGGATATGCTGGTCGGGCACACATTTGCGGATGTGGGCGTACAACTGAGCCGCGTATCCTTTCTCCTTAGCCGATATCTCGCCAATGAGTATTTTATAGGCACGCTCAATCTACCAAAAGATCGGAAAAAAGTATTTATTAGGTAAAAAACGGACTAAGAAATATAAGAATAGATAGAATAGAAGATCGAGCATATGCTTTCTTTTTCCAGTTACATATGCAAAGATACATGATACTGCTTGCTTGCTTTTACAATTTTGAAAGATCCCTTGATAAACTGAGTCTGGACTTACCTTAGTCCGGCAGCCGGAACAGAACTTGTGCTTCTTCAGGTAGTTTTCGAGCACGTCGTGCAACTCCTTGGTTTCGATGATGGTGAGCTCGTTGCGACAGTTGCTCTTCATGGCGGACCACACCTCTCGCCATGTCTCAGAAAAGCAGTGCTGCCAACTTTTGACCAACAAAAAAGCTGTTTTTGACGGGAGAAGTGAAAAAAAAAGCTTAAAAAATTTATAAAAAAATCCAAAAAAAAAGCTGAAACAAATGTATAAAAAATAGAAAAAATTTCAAAAAATATAAAAATTTAATAAGTTCAGTTTTGTTTAAAAGATTTCCATAATTGATCAATTTCTTCATGGTCTTCCTTATTTTCGTAAGACCTAATAGTTCCTATCATCTGCAGATATTGATTGGCACTTCATAGTCGACGCAGCATTTCCCGACCCTTCGCAATCCGTTTCTGTATATTAAAATAAATATAATGAATATAAATAGAAATGAATATCTTTGCTTACACTAGTATGCTTCTTTATTGCAGCGTGAGCTCGCAGATCACTGAGTTTAGCTGTAATAGTAGTCTTGCAATAGTTGCAATAAACCCTTTGCAGGTCTGTGTCATCCCTGCGAATCCATGCCTTAAATTCATCACTTTTAAGCCAGACATCGCGGCATTTTGTTTATACTCCTTCGGCATTTTAGAACTTGCTAACAATTTACGCGCACTTTTTATATAGAGATGGAAAAACTAAGCGACTTATGAAATTAGCGTATATCTATTAAAACAATCGATACGTCGCTACATTATCTGGTTTGTTCGTAAAGCTAACTTTTTAGCTGCCACTTTCATATTTTGTACTTAGTTTTAACAACACAAAAAAAATCGGGAAAAAGCCATTCAATTCCAAAAAAGCCAGAATTCCCGCTTTTCACAATTCCCGCAATTCACAAATTTTTCCCGCAGTTAGCCTTAAAAAAAAGCCAGTTTTGACGGGAAAAATCCAAATGGCAGCACTGCAGAAAAGGGCTTGGCACGGAAGGCATCCGAGGGAGTGGAGAACGCATCGCGTCTTGTTGCGCAGTTTGTTATCCAGCAGGTTGTTGAGCACCTCGTGATGCCGATAAAGCAGCGTGCCCAGGGCCTGCGGCGTCTTCAGCTTCTCCTCAACGATACCTAGCGTGTTTGTGGGTCGCAGTTCCAGCGGATCCAGCGTGCGATGACCAGACTCCGTCAGCTGGTGGAACAGCCGCTCCACACGTCTTCGGCAGCCGACACACTGAACGCACTGGTTCAGAATGGCCATAAAGCTGGCGCAGTCAATCTCAAGTGATTGCCGCCGTTCAGCCTCTGTAAGCAGTTTGAATTTGCGCGAGAA